GCGCAACAGGCTGCCTGGTGGTTGAGCGGAAACCATGGCAACGGGAAGCAGGGAGGATATTCCCGTCACCCTCTGGAAAGGGCAGCCTATTTCTGGGACCCGAGCCCAGTTCTTCACTAGTTGTGTATTTTGCTGTGAATTTCGATGCCGGAGACACGGCGTGGAGGGTGCGGGGCTGAGGTGGGGAGGGGCAGTAACCGCCCCCAACCCCAACCCCGGGCCCGGAGGAGGAGACCCAGTTCCGGGCTCAGCCCCACAGGATCAGACCCCTCTCCAGCCACACCAGGGGAGGGCGGGCGCTTTGGGGGGCACTGGGGCAGGGCCTGCTTCCCAGTCCCCAACAGAGGGGACCTTTTGGAACCCCTTGGCCGGGGACTGCCTGGGGCTCCCAGCAGCAGGGGGATGGGGTGGGGGTGGCGAGCCTAGCTCGCGGGACTCAGAGTCAAGCGAGGCCCCGCCGTGCGTGCACACGGGCTCGCGCATCTCCCCGCACGCGCACGCTGGAGCAGGGTGGCTTTTGATGTAGACGGCTCTGCCCCCTAGCGGCAGCTGTGATCAGCATGCGGGGCTCCTTCCAGGGAGAGCTTTGGAGAGGAAGGAGAAGGGGTCCAGGGAGAGAATCCCAGGCTGAGCTTGGGGTGGAAGATCCCAGGAGGGGCTCGCGGCGGCCCGCTGCCCCGGCAGCTCCTTTTCACCCGCCACCCTCGTCCTGGGTGACCTCAGTCCCTCTTATGGCTGTCCAGACCTTTCCCCTAGGGGACAATCCCCAGGAAGACATAGGCTCCTCAAACTCCACGTGTCACAATGGAGCGCGTCTTCTTCCCACACCCGTCCCTCATCTCGGAGACTGGCACCTTCATCCACCCGGTTGGCCCAAACTTGGGAAAGCTCCTTGATATCTCCTCTTCCTCCTCCCCAACATCCACCTCCTCACTGATCCTGGGGATTCTCCATCCCAAATAGCTTTGAAATAATCAACTTCTGGTAGGCAGAATTTCGGCCCCCATGACCTTCATTCCCGTGTCACTCCCGTGAGTATGTTACATTACATGGCCAAAGGGACTTTGCAGATGTGATTCGGGCTACTCATCGGTTGACCTTAACATAGGGAGATGAGCTTATACAAGCAGAGCTTCACTGGCCGAGGCCAGAAGCCGAAGTCAGAAAGATGCAGAGATGATGGGAAGAGCTCTTGGCATCATTGATGGCTGGAAAGTGAAAGGAGGGCCTAGCTCCAGGGAACTGAATTCTGCCAACACCTGCATGAGCCCAGTTCATCTGACACCTTTTTTTGTTGGCTTGTCTTTATTTTGAGTTATGATAGATTCACAGGAAGTTCTAAAGACAGTGCAGGGAGGTCCCATGTACCCTTCACCCTGTTTCCCGATTTAAAGTATACATGCCAGGCATGGTGCCTCATGCCTGTAATCCCAGCACTTTGAGAGGCCATGATGGGTGGATCACTTGAGTCCAGGAGTTCGAGACCAGCCTGGACAACATGGCAAACTCTGCCTTTACAAAAAATTTTAAAGTGTACAATGCAGTACTTTAAAAAATATTCATAGAGTTAAGTAACCATCACCACGATCTCATTCCAGAACGTTTTTATCACCCCCACCAGGAGCCCTGTATCACCTAAGCACTAACTCCTCATTCTCCTCTTCCCCTAAGTCCTGGCAACCATTTGTCTTCCTTTCTATGGATTTGCCTGTTCCAATCTGGCATAGAAATGGACTCATATAATTTTGTGGCCTTTTGTGTCTGGCTTCTTTGGCTTGGCATAATGTTTCCAAGGTTCACCAACACTGCAGCATGGACCAGTGTTTCATTGCTTTTGGGGGCTGAATAATGTTCATTGCCTGGATATGCCACATTTTGTTTATTCATCTATTGATGGACATTTGAGTTGTTTCTGCTTTTTGGTTATTATGCATAAATCTGCTATGAACATTCGTGCAAATTATCTGGTGTGGGCATATACTTTCACTTCTCTTGGCTGTACAGCTAGGAGTGGAATTGCTAGGTCACATGGTTACTCTATGTTTAACCTTTGGAGGAACTGCCAGACTAGTTTCCCAAATGGCTCTAACCATTGAACATCTTACTAGCAATGTATGAGGGTTCTGACTTCTCCATATCCTCTCCAAACAGACACTTGTTATTTTCCATTTTAATTTTATTAGTCATCCTAACAGGTGTGAATTATATCTTATTCGAGTTTTTTTTTTTTTCTTTTTTTTTTCTTTTTTGAGACAGACTCTCACTCTGTCGCCCAGGCTGGAGTGCAGTGGCACGATCTCAGCTCACTGCAACCTCTGCCTCCTGGGTTCAAGCGAGTCTCCTGCTTCAGCCTCCTGAATAGCTAGGATTACAGGCACCTACCACCATGTCCAGCTAATTTTTGTATTTTTAGGAGACACGGGGTTTCACCATGTTGGTCAGGCTGATGTTGAATGCCTGACCTAAGGTGATCCACCTGTCTCAGCCTCCCAAAGTTCTGGGATTATAGGCATGAGCCACTGCACCTGGCCTCATTCTAGTTTTGATTTGCGTTTTCTAGTGATCTGCATCACTAATGACTAGTGATGTTGACCATTTTTTCATGTGCTCATGGCACATTGTACATAGTCTTTTGAGAAATGTCCGTTTAGATCATTTGCCCAATTTTTTTTCTTTTCAAGCAAATGAATACTTTGATTAATACGGTAAGTTAAAAAAAAAAACATGGTAGGGTTTTGACCCCAAATATTTATCAGGTCTGCTACTCAAATGAACTTATAGCTGGACAATGTATGAACCTTGAAGATGCCTCTTCCACTCCAGTTTAGGGTCCAATGCACAATTCCACACTGTCATCCCCCAGCTCCTCAAGGGTCTTTGCAAATCTCTTTCATTTTATGCTAAGTCCCTGAAATGCATCAGGGTATTACATCAAGTTGTACAGAATATCAAGATCTCATCCTCTATTTTAGGTTCCATGTCAGATAAAGCTGAATTAGGTTGTCCAAACAAACTCACCAGACAGGTTATATCAGATAGTGTACCACATAAAATTTAAATTTTGAACAAAATATATATCTCCTCCTTTGGTCTCACACAGAAATTAAAGTCCTCAAATACAGATAATACTCTCCATTCTCCAGCTCTTCTCCAGATTCATGGGTCCAAGCCAGGTCAGCCCATCCACATTCCCAGTTGAAGTCTGGTCCTTTCTTCAGTAGTTGCTGTATGGAGTCATCTTCTAGAATTATTGCGGTTCCTTCAGCCCCTCCAGAGCTGCAGAACTCCAACTGTGAGGCTCATGTGTCACACACAGACCCAAAGTTCCATGGAGCTATCAGATCACACAAGAAAGAGCAAAGCACCTCAAACATCTAGAAATAACAACCAAAGCCTGGGAACAAATGTGACTGCTGCAAGAGCATGGTCTAGGTCCTCATTCCTGTATGAGAGAGCATTTTCCAAACAAACTTACTTCCCCAGACAAAAACGCTAACAATCAAAACTCACTTTGAGTTCATCAACCACAGACCATAGCAGAGAACTGAGTGTGAGTGAGGACAGAGCGTGGACAGAGGAAAACAGAGAAAACCAAAGGCTCTCTGGTTTCAGCTTCTCCTGGGTGTCAGCCAATCTCCACCAGATGACCAGAATCCATTGGCTGTAAACCACCGACCGTGCTCTCAACTCGTTCGTCTCTATCCTCCGGGCCAGCTCCACCAGCATCCCTGCCATCTTCACCATTTCCTTGGCCTTCTCCTCGGCCTTCTGGCACCTGTTGGCCACCCTGCCCTCCATTGCGTTGCCCGGGTTGTTGAGGTGGTTGAGGATGCTCCTCTGAAGCTTCCACCTGGGTTTTGATCTGGATGAGCATATTGCCCATCTTCCACAGCGTGCTCTGCTTCCACAGGTATGCTGGCCAGTGCTTGTCAGCGACGCGATGTCCTCTCGCATCTCATGGATGACTGGGAGCAGAAACTGCTCAAAATCCTCCTCCACCTCCAGCACCTCCACTTCCTTCGGTTCTGACAGCTCGACGATGTCCGGGGGCCGCATCTCTTCCTGCTGCCTCAGAACCGCAGTAGCAACGTGAGCAGAGCAGCGGTAAACAAAATCCCTTTACCTAATTTTAATCGGGCTATTTCTTTTTGTTATTGAGTCGCATTGGTTCTGTATATGATCTAGATACAAGTCAATTATCAGCTACTATGTAATTTGCAAATGGGTTCTGTTATTTTGTGGGTTGTCTTTTCACTTTCTTGATGGTGCCCTTTGAAGCACAACAGTTTTTCATTTTCCAATTTATTTTTTGCTTTGCTTGTTTGATACTTTGGACATCCTTTCTAAGAAACCATTGCCTAAGCCAAGGTCATCAAGATTTACTCTTGCGTTTTCTTCCGAGAGTTTTATAGTTTTAGCTCTTACATTTAGATTTATGATCCATTTTGAGTTAATTTTTGTATATGGTCTGAGCTGGGGGTCCAAGTTCATTTTTTGGCTTGTGGATGTCTAATTGTCCCAACACCTTTTGTTAAACAGACTATTCTCTCTGCCATTGATGTTGGTCTTGGCACCCTTGGCAAAAATCAGTTGACCATAGATGTAAGGGTTTATTTCTGAATTCTTAATTCTGTTCAATTGATCTATGAGTATCTTTGTGCTAGTACCACACAGACTTGAGTTCTGTAGCTTTGTGGTAAGTTTTGAAATTAGGAAATGTGAGTCTTGGAAAATTAGGAAAAGTAACTTCATTCTTTTTCAAGATTGTTTTGGCTATTCTGAGTTTCTTGCATTTTCACATACATTTTAGGGTCAGCTTGTCAATTTCTGCACAAAAGTCACCTAGGACTGATTTTCTCTTTCTTTCTTTCTTTCTTTCTTTCTTTCTTTCTTTCTTTCTTTCTTTCTTTCTTTCTTTCTTTCTTTCTTTCTTTCTTTCTCTCTCTCTCTCTCTCTCTCTTTCTTTTCTTTTCTTTTCTTTCTTTCTTTCTGCCAGCTGGGATTTTGATAAGGATTCCATTGAATTTGTAGATCAATTTAGAGAGTATTGTCATCTTGGTTGCCGGCAAAGCTCGAGTCCTGTCCTCTTGCTCTCCTCCACGGACAGCATGAGCTTCACCACTTGCTCCACCTTCTCCACCAACTACCAGTCCCTGGGCTCTGTCCAGGTGCCCAGCTATGGTGCCTGGCTGGTCAGCAGTGTGGCTAGCGTCTATGCAGGTGCTGGGGCCTCTGGTTCCCGGATCTCCGTGTCCTGCTCCACCAGCTTCCAGGGCGGCATGGGGTCTGCGGCCTGGCCACAGGGATGGCCAGGGGTCTGACAGGAATGGGAGGCATCCAGAACAAGAAGGAGACCATGCAAAGTCTGAACGACCACCTGGCCTCCTACCTGGGCAGAGTGAGGAGCCTGGAGACTGAGAACCAGAAGCTGGAGAGCAAAATCCGGAAGCACCTGGAGAAGAAGGGACCCCAGGACAGAGGCTGCAGCTATTATTTCAAGACCATGGAGGACCTGAGGGCTCAGATCTCTGCAAATACTGTGGAAAATACCCGTGTTGTTCTGCAGATCGACAGTGCCCGTCTTGCTGCTAATGACTTTAGAGTCAAGTATGAGACAGAGCTGGCCATGCGCCAGTCTGTGGAGAACGACATCCATGGGCTGCTCAAGGTCATCGATGACACCAATGTCACTCGCTGCAGCCGGAGACAGAGATCGAGGCCCTCAAGGAGGAGCTGCTCTTCATGAAGAAGGATCACGAAGAGGAAGTAAAAGGCCTACAAACCCAGATTGCCAGCTCTGAGTTGACCGTGGAGGTAGATCCCCAAATCTCAGGACCTCGCCAAGATCATGGCAGACATCCGGGCCCAATATGACAAGCTGGCTTGGAAGAAACAAGAGGAACTGGACAAGTACTGGTCTCAGCAGATTGAGGATGCCACCAGAGTGGTCACCATGCAGTGACAGAGTGAGACTCCATCTCAAAAACAAACAAACAAACAAACAAACAAACAAACAAACCCTCTGAACTCAGTGAATGGAACCTTATTTGGAAAAAGTGTCTGTGCAGATGTGCTTAAGTTAAGGATCTCGAGATGAGATCATCTGGATTAGGGCCCTAAATCCAATGACAGGTGTCCTTATAAGAGAAAAGAAGTCACAAACACAGAGGAGAAGGCCACATGGATTCACAGAGAATAGAGCGGTGTCATCACAAGCCAAGGGACACCCAGATTCCCCAGGAACTGGGAGAGGCAAGAAGGAGCCTCCCCCAGAGCCTCCAGAGGAGGGAACAGGGTCCTGCAGACACCAGGATCTTAGGCTTCTGGCCTCCAGAGCTGCAAGAGAGCGCATTTCTGTTGTGTTACTTTGTTACGGCAGCCACAGGAAATGGGGTGGTGGTGGGGGGAACCATGAACGGGAAACAAATACATCTTCACTTTGATGCTTTTGTACAAATACCCCCTAGGAAAATAACACATTTAGGGCCCCATTAATGCATGACAATTGAGTAACTCATAGACAGGCCTCACTCCTCTCTCCCTGATACCTTGACCTTTACCCTCCCTCCCTTCCTCAGCCACTTGCTCCTGATCCCCAGATCCTGTCAGCATGTTGTCATGGATAGAGTGGACCTGTGTGACATGTGAGGGACAGCGAGATCAAGGTCCCTGGAGACAGACTGTGGCATGGAGCCGGAGAGCTGAAGTGTCCTAGGGGGAGGATAGTAAAAGCATAATGTTGCTCTTTGGGGCAAGTGGAAACTTCTAGAGTTCTCTGTGTATGAGAATGGAACTGCAAATCATTTGCCAGTGACTTTCCTGCTTTGCTCCAGCGAGAGGGTCACAGTGGGACCAGTGGCTGTGAGTGGAGTCCCCATGGGGTTGCGGGACAGGAGCTTCCACAAGGTGCCTCCTGCTGCAGGAGCCTTCACCCACCTGAGCCAGGGAGCCAGCTGTTCATCACAGGAGGGGCTCAGGGGCTGCCTAGGAGACAGATTTCAGGCCAAGGTCTTTCCATCAGCTCCCACTCTGGCTGCTATGCACCCCACAACGAGGATCCTCCATCTCCAACCATCACAGTGGAACCTTGTTTCAGAGGTGACCTCGCTGACCTCGTTGCAGGTACACCCCACTCTGGTCCCCTCCCGCACCACCTCCTTGCTATCAGGAGCCGTCCCTGGGCTATCAGGAGTCCCGGGACAGCCCAGCCACCCACCCTTGCTGTGGCTGTCCTGCTGACACCCTGGGTTTCTCAGGTCCTTGCCTTCACTTGGCCCTTCTGAGAACTTCCTGGCTCCGTAACGTTGCCCACTTCTTCCAGCTGCTCTGCCCTCCGACTTTCTTTGCTGGCCAGTCTCCCAGCTCTTCCGTGTGAAACCCTTCTCCCCATAAGAAGATTTTGTCCTCAGTGGCACGATTGCATGTGGTAGTTTTAAAAAATAATGGATTTACTCAGATATAATTCACGTACCATAAAATTCACCCATTTAAAGCATACAATTCAATGGCCTTTTAATGTATTCACAGAGTTGTGCCACCGTCACCACTATCTAATTCCAGAACAGCCTTGTCACCCCTGTCTCCATCAGCAGTCACTCCCTGTGATCTCTTCCTGGCCCTGGCACCCACTCATCTGGTTTTAGTCTCCCGCACATCTATTGCTGGGGTAGATTTTCCAGCCCTCATGCCCGACTGGCAGCACTTCTCCCTAGGTCCAACTTGGTCACGCCCAAGATCCCGTGCGTGCTTAGAGCTTGCTCAATGACTCTATTGAGCTCCTGGTTACTCGAGTCTCTGAAAAAGAAAATAATACCAGGCAGTAGATTCACCAAAAAGTCATAATCTGACCAGGCTTTGTGGCTCACACCTGTAATCTCAGCACTTTGGGAGGCCGAGGTAGCCAAATCACCTGAGGTCAGGAGTTCGAGACCAGCCTGGCCAACATGGTGAAACCCCGTCTCTACTAAAAATACAAAAAATTAGCTGGGTGTGGTGGCGCACGTGGCCTGTAATGCCAGCTACTCAGGAGGCTGAGGCAGGAGTATCACTTGAACCCGGGAGGTGGAGGTTGCAGTGAGCCAAGATCATGCTACTGCACTCCAGCTTGGGCGGCAGAGCGAGATTCTGTCTCAATCAATCAATAAATAAAAAGATGAAGGGTGGGTAGGCAGTGGGGAGCGGGGAGGGAGAACAGAGATGGAGGCTGTGGATCTTGCCGATGGTGAGAGGGAGCTGGCTCGGACGGCACAGTGGATAAGTGACTATGGCAGGAGGTTCCCAGGCAGTGAGGAGTTTCTAAAGACAAGTAGTAGGCCTGGACTTTGATGAGGCTGCCAGGATGAAGACCTGGGCAGGTTAGGTGCTTTGGAAATTGCCTCTGCTTTTTGAAGACCACCCAGGCTTTCCCATGGCCCTTCCTGTGCACAGCCTCTCTTCTGGACCCCAAATGCCTCTTCCCTCTTTCTCTGCCTCATCCTTTGATCTTCAGACCGAGTCCTATTCCTTGAAATGAGTCACTCACTCTTTTCCATAATAGTGCTATTGTGAGGGAAAGGCTGTGATTTAATCAATGTATGGGCACATGGTGAGGATTAGCTAAGGAAGCACTGGCAAATATTACAGAATTGTGTTTCTGATGGTGACTGGCAGCCCCAGGGCCAAGCCTGGGGTCGCGAACCAGGTTTCAGCCCTCAAGGAACTCACCATCTGAGCCAGGGGAGATGAGACGGGGTATGCCACATTTGGGACAATGGGGACAGGCTTGCCAGTGGGAGATGAGGTGCTGCCTAAAGGTTTGCTGGCTCCAGTTGGTGGCTAGTGAATTATTCATTTATCAACCACTGCGCCGAGGTGACCCAGGGCTTTAAACTTCGTGTTCATTGAGTCATTCCATCGGCTCACATTCCCAGGCACCTTTTACTAGCTGAGCTGGGACTCTTCTCAGCACATAAGGCCCAGAGCAGAAGGAGGAGTTCGAGCTGCGCCTAGAGGATGGGCGGGCCACCAGGGGCCAGAGGGAAGCACTGTATGATTTGGGGCGTTCGCATATGTGCACGTATGTATGTGGGGGGAATGTGTGATGCATGTGTATGGGGGGGTGTGTGTGTGTAGTGTGCACAGATGTGGTGGTAGGGGGAAGCTGAGAGGCAGCAGCCTGATTCTCCAAGGCCCATAGCTGCTTTAGGGAACATGGGCTTGAGCCTTCTAGATCTAGCTGTGGCTGGTCCAGCCCAGGGCACTGTCTGGAGGAACACAGGACCTGGCCTCCACCAACGGGGCTGAGGCAAGGTGGGCCCTCTGGGCATTGCCCAGGTTTCAGCCTTGGGCTGGGGAGAGGGTGGGGCTGCTCACAGCTTGGGGACAGACACAGTGCTCAAGGTATGGCAGGTGTCAGCAGCACCGGGAGCTGGGGACCCTGAGTCAGTTCACACATGCACACATATGCACACACACATGCACACCTGTGCACATAGACAAAAGCAAGCTGGGTGATGGAAGTGGAGCAGTAATTCCTTCACCAGGCAGAATATGTGCAGAGACGTTCAGCTGGGAGGCCATAACCTTTAGGGGACCTGCCAAAGGTCTCTGCCATGAGGCAAAGTGGTGAGATCTGAGGCCGATCAGTTGACAGGGTGACTCTGCAAGGACCAGCATGTGAGGCCAAGGCCCCACATTTTCTCCTGAGGGTGAAGGGACCCCGGAGGGTGTCAGGCAGGGCAGGACCTGTTGAGCCTCGCCGTTTAGAAAGCTGGCTCCGGCGGCTGCTATTGTGGGCTGAATGGCAGCCCCCAAAAGGTGTGTCCATGTCCTAATCCCTGTGACTGTAACCTTATTTAGAAGGACCTTTGCAAGATGTAATGAAGATAAGGATGTCAAGATGAGCTCCTCCTGGATTATCTAGGTGGGCCCTAATCCAGTGACAGATGTGCTTATAAGAGAAGAGAAGACAGGGAGAAGGCCATGTAAAGATGGAGGCAGAGATTGGAGTGATGGGGCCACAAGCCCAGGAATAACTCAGGCTGCAGAAGCTGGAAGAGCAAGGAAGAACTGATCCTCTGCCAGAGCCTTTGAGGGAGCAAAGCCCTGGTGTCACCTCCATTTCAGGTGTCTGGCCTCCAGAATTGAGAGAGGATATACTTCTGGTGTTTTTAGCAACCCAATTTGTGGTCATTTGTTACAGTAGCCCCAGGAAACTAACCCAGCTGCGATGGAGAGGACTTGGGGAGCCTGGTGGAGGCAGGAGGTGCTGAGGAAGGAGACCCAGGCCGGACTGGGTGTGTGGGGTGGGGGTAAGAGGTGGAGACTTCCACATCATCCGGAGATCAAGGCGCCTGGGTAGAAGGGTTTAGGGAGTAGTAGCTGTTGCCTCTCCGTATTGCCAGCTGTCTGAAATTGTAGCAATGATCTGAATGTATCAGAATGGCTCAAGTGACTGTCACTAGCTTGGGAGTCCTTTTGGGGTTCTATGTCCCTAAAGCCTGATGCGCCATTTCCTGCTTGTGGAAGGCACGAATGAAAAATGGGATGGTAAATACATGAGTTCGATATTCAACATGTATTCAACAAACATTTATTAGGCTCCTACTGTGCGTAGCGCTGGAAAGGCAAGCAGAAGCTAGATTCCCAATCGATCCCAGGAGGCTGGACGATCCAGACACAAACACCGTTCATGCGTCTATTGGAAAAGGCCCCCTTGGAATTTTGTGCACAGCATTTCCTTGGGGTGTCGGTGGATCGGGGTTTGCAAACACTAGCACCTTTTCCGGTGGCCGCTGCCTTCTCAGACCTCAGACACCGGCGCCTCCACGTGAACTCCCGCAGGCGTCTCTAGCCCAGGGCTTGGCGGGCGCTGCCGGCTGTTCCTGGCCTAAGCCATGTTGGGCCGCCAGCCCGGGCCTACACCTTCTTCGGACGGCGGGGATTTGCGGCTCGAGTGACCGGAGGTGCCCTCCCGCGGGTCTGAGAGCAGCTCCGCGGACCCTCGCTCCGCGGGGAGGAGCCTGCGTCTCCAGAGGCGGGGCTCGAGGCGTCTAGGGGGTCGCTACTCGCTAGCCGCCCGGTGGTGTCGGCCTCTGCGCCTGCGCCTGCGCCTGCGCGCGCGGCCAGGCAGCCTCTGTGGCGCAGGCGCGCGCTCACTCTTGGGTGCTGGCCCTGCGGGGCGGGGCGGAGGAGCGGCGGGGCGGGACGCAGACGGGTGGGGCGGCCGTGCCAGCCGCGAGCACACCCCCGGCTTTGCCAGCGTCTGCGCGCCGGGGCCGCCTCTCCTTCCGCCGGAGCCGCAGGGCCTCATGGAAGCCCCGGAGGGCGGCGGAGGGGGGCCCGCAGCGCGGGGCCCTGAGGGGCAGCCGGCGCCCGAAGCCAGGGTGCACTTCCGAGTGGCGAGGTTCATCATGGAGGCAGGTAACCGCAGCCAGGGGCAGGCCGGGGCAGGCGGCGCCGGGGCCCGCTTCGCGGAGCGGGCGCGGCTGGCCAGGCCGGGCTTCCGGAGTGCTCACCTTACAGAGGCCGGGAAGCCCGGCTCGGGGCTGAGGACCTCCGCCTTTGCGCCGCGCCCGGTGTGCTGAGCAGTGAGCCGCGATGTGTCCCCATTGCGTGAACCGGTGTGCAGGCCCTAGGAGAGGACGTGGCCGGGTCGGGCCTCCAGCGAGGCGGGGACCAGCCCGGGCACCTGCAGCTCTGCGCAGTGCGCCACGCCTTCTGCCGCACCCGCGGGCCTGCACTGGCGCTTGGTCTCGCGGAGCCTTTTGGAGAAGGCTGTCCGGGGTTTCCTGTCACTCCGAGGACGTAGGCTGCATGCAGCTCCTGTTCCGAACCCTGCCAGGATATCCACAATAGTGTTGGGCTCCGCGTTTCCATCCAGCCATCAATAGTGTTTTGTTTTGTTTTGTTTTGTTTTTGAGACGGAGTCTCGCTCTGTTGGCCAGGTTGGAGTGCAGTGGCGTGATCTCGGCTCACTGCAACCTCCGTCTCCTGGACTAAAGCAGTTCTCCTTCCTCAGCCTCCGAATAGCTGGAATTACAGGTATGTGCCACCGCGCCCGGCTAATGTTTGTAGTTTTAGTAGAGATGGGGTTTCACCATGTTGGCCAGGCTGCTCTTGAACTCCTGGCCTCAGGTGATCCGCCTGCCTTGGCCTCCCAAAGTGCTGGGATTACAGGCGTGAGCTACCTCGTCCGGCCCATCAACAGTGTCTTGATAGGAGATACTGTTAGTTGGTGGATAGTTATTTCCTACCTTTACTGCTTGGGGGAGAAGGGTTGGGCAGATACACTTTTACTCGAGGTGGACAGAGAGTCTGAGGAATGCTGCAGGACTGTTCATCCCAGTGATATGTAAATGTACTGTAATTTGCAAGAAGAGTTGCAATGTTATTATTAGGGAAGGATAGCAGTGACACCTCATCTGCTACCATCTGCTCGGAGGGTCCATGTAAATTGGGCTTTGCTCTGTAAAACAAGGCTTGGATGGTCATGTCAGTAACAAAACCTTATCTGGCATCTCCTGGAATGAGGGGTCCCAGGTAGGAATTGTCTCTATATAACAAGTTTAGACCTTCTGAGGGACTTCTTTATAAAATGTATTGCATAAACCTTTGTTCTTTGTAGGAGGCTAAATATTGATTTCCCAAAGATGTCCCTGTCCTAATCCCTGGAACCTGTGAATGTCATCTTATATAGCAAAAGAGACTTTGAAGATGTGGTTAAAGACCCTAAGATGGGAGATCATCCTAGATTATTTGGATGTAACCATCCTTATAAGGGAAAGGCAGGAGGAGTTACCATCAGAGAAGGCCACATGAGGACAGAAGCAGAGTTAGAGGCTTTGAAGATGGAGGAAGGGGCCAGCAACCAAGGAATGCAGCCCTCCTCTAGAAGCTAGAAAAGGCAAGGAAACAGATTTCTCCCATGGAGCCTCCAGAAGGAGCCAGCCCTGCTAAGACGTTGATCTTAGCCTTCTAGGCTTGTTTTGAACTTCTGACCTCCAGGATCAGGAGAGTATAAATGTGTGTTGTTTAAGTGACTGAATTTGTGGTGATTTGTTGCAGTAGCCCTAGGGAACTGATCTACCTTCTTAGGCAGAGGACACTAGCTGTCATTTCATGGTTGATTGTTGGTTGTTCTCCACCTTCCTGTTTTGGCCTAGTGGATGTCATTTAACCTCTTGTGAACCCTGGTTGTTGTGAATTTGTTTTGGTTCTGTGCACCAGGGCAGTGATTTTCTTAGGAGCCATTCAGGAATGGGCTGGGGATGGGCTTTAACCCCTAAGTGAATCCACTGAGTTGTGTTCTGGTGTTTTGAGTTTTGTTAACCTTAAAATTTTTTTTCTTTTCTTTTTTTTTTTTTTGTAGAGACAGGGTCTCACTCTGTTGCCCAGGCCGATCTCAAATTCCTGGGCTCAAGCAATCCTCCTGCTTTAGCCTCCCAAAGTGCTGGGATTACAGGCATAAATCAGCATGCCCAGCCTACTTTTCAACGTGTTGGTGTCCTTCCCCCGTGCCTGGCCGTGGCCATAAACATTGCTTTTTCTCTGTAATGCGAGTGGTTACTCTTGGCAGTCACGCTGCTTGCTTTGCTCACCTCTTCTAACCCGTGAACTATGAAACCAGTGCTCAGTATAATCTTTCACTGTGACTTCAGGACTTGTGGTACCCACGAGGCCGTTTCTCTTCTGTCGTCGTAGCTGTGGGTTGGGTGACTTCTAGCTAGCGGCTTGCTAAGGTGAACCCAGACACACAACAGCATATGGTCCTTTCCTAGGGTTTTGCAGAAGCAGCTATGCCAGTTGCTAACTGAGCAGTCCTTGGAACCCTTGTTTCCCAGAGCGTGGTCTACAGACCCCTGACATGGGCATGACCTGGGGCTTGTCACAAGTGCAGAATCTCAGAGCTGCAGACCTACAGAAGGGGAAGTTTGCATTTGAACACCGTCCCTAGGGGCTTGGGTCATCCACTGGAGTCTAAGAGCCCAGTGAGAGACCTGGCAGGAGCCACTGGCTCTGCTGGAAGCTCTTAGCCTTGTCCAAGAAGGGTTGTACCTGCTAGGGCCCATTCCAGTGGCTTCCCTCACTGGAGTAGTGAACCAGCGCTGGACTGAAGTCCTCTCTTGCCTGCTTTCTCTCTGCAGGTGTCAAGCTAGGGATGCGGTCCATTCCCATTGCCACTGCTTGCACCATTTACCATAAGTTCTTCTGTGAGACCAACCTGGATGCCTATGACCCTTACCTGATTGCCATGTCTTCCATTTACTTGGCTGGCAAAGTGGAAGAGCAGCACCTGCGGACTCGTGACATCATCAATGTGTCCAACAGGTAATGGCATTTGGATGGGCTCCTGGTGTCCACGCGGTGGGGGGGAAGGGTAGGGAAGGCTCCTACGGGGCCCTGCCCACCAGGTGCCAGCAATGGAGCTTGGAAGGAAGTACCTGGATGGCCTTGAACCAGGGCCAGAAACACTAGCAGCAAACGTGGGAAGGAGCCTGATGTCAGAGGCCAGTGGGGTCTGTGAAAGAAAAGCTGGGCCAGATTATGGGGAGCCTGGAAAGCTGGATGGAGGGTAGAGGTGGGTGTTGAGCAGGGGGAGCTTGCAGAGGCATGTCAAAGAAGATTCTGTTGAAGTCTTAGACAGGGATGGCTGCATGCAGAAGAGCTTGCCTGCATCAGGAGGGTACAGACCCAGCCAGGTGGTGGGTCCCAGTTGCTTAGGGGCCTCGCCCTGCTGTGGGTGTGGGCATGGGCATGGCACAGCCGGCCCAAGCAGGTGTGTTCCTCCTGGGGCAGGATGCAGGGTCTTCGCCAAGGCGAAGGAGAAACGGTCTGGGAAATATAAAACTGAGAAATGTTCACTTTTTGGAGTACCTCATTCCCATGAGACGCTTAAATATCTTTCCTGGATGGCTGGACATGGTGGCTCATGCCTATAATCCCAACACTTTGGGAGGCCGAGGCGGGTGGATCGCTTGAGTCCAGGAGTTCAAGACCAGCCTGGCCAACATGGTGAAACCTTGTCTCTACCAAAAATACAAAAATTAGCCGGGTGTGGTGGCGCATGCCTGTGGTTCCAGTTGCTCGGGTGGCTGAGGCAGGAGGATTGCTTGAGCCCAGGAGGTCAAGGCTGCAGTGAGCTGTGACTACACCACTGTACTCTAGCCTGAAAGACAGAGCAAGACCTTGTCTCAAAAAATAAAAAATAAGGCCAGGCGCGGTGGCTCATGCCTGTAATCCCAGCACTTTGGGAGGCCAAGGCGGGTGGATCACGAGGTCAGGAGATCGAGACCATCCTGGCTAACACGGGGAAACCCCGTCTCTACTAAAAATGCAAAAAATTATAGCCAGGCATGGTGGCGGGCGCCTATAGTTTCCAACTACTGGGGAGGCTGAGGCAGGAGAATGGCGTGAACTCGGGAGGCGGAGCTTGCAGTGAGCCGAGATTGCGCCACTGCACTCCAGCCTGGGCGACAGAGCGAGACTCCGTCTCAAAAATAAATAAATAAATAAATAAATAAAAAACTAAAAATAAGATAAAAAAATATGTTCCCTGGGCCCAGAGTGAGAGCCCTGGGCATTGCCACCTCAGGTGATGAAGATTCCCTACTGCCAGGCTGAATATAACAGGAAGCACAACCGACTTGGCATGCTCAAACTTCCGGTTCCTCTGGAGCCATCGCCAACAGCCAGTCTTTGCACTTGACATTTTGCTGAATGATAGCAGACAGCCCATCTGGCTAAAACTAGGACCTGGCTTCTTTCCTCTGTTGGTTACTGTTTTCATTCTGTACACTAGATGTGGAGATGAAGAATTTTTGTATAAAAACACAAATAAAATGACCCTACATTAATCTGCAGATGGACAATGTAGTTTGCATCTGGACATTGTGTGACTTAAGCAATTTGAGCCATGCAATGCTCAGGGGAGACTGCACTGGCTGCTGAAGCATTGCCATTTCTCTGTGCAGGTACTTTAACCCAAGCGGTGAGCCCCTGGAATTGGACTCCCGCTTCTGGGAGCTCCGGGACAGCATTGTGCAGTGTGAGCTTCTCATGCTGAGAGTTCTGCGCTTCCAGGTCTCCTTCCAGCATCCACACAAGGTACATGCTAGGGAATTGGTGCCTGTTTGGGGAGGCTCGAGCCATGGTCTTTGTTCTTTATCCCAAAAATGCATCCCATCTCATACTCAAGAGCGCAGCACAGAAGGAGAGCAGGGCTGCGGCTGGAAACTGGGTCTCCCCGCTCCGTGTTTGTGGCTGGGTTGGCTGCCTGGCCTCTCCTGTCCCACTCCTGTGGGTTTTCTCAGCCAAATCTCATTTCAGCTTCTGCCTTTCTGCCTGCTCACCTGTGGGCGAGGTCCGTGTGGCCCGCTGAAGCTGTGGCAGCTCCTGTGGCCCATATAGATGGTATGCACACTGGGCCTTGGGGAAGCAGGCTGGTTTCGTGACCAGCCAGAGTCCCCGTCCCCAGGAGATGCTGTGATGCCTCGGAGCATGCATCCAGCTCCGCTGTGCTTAGGAAGCCATCTAGGAACGTGTGAGTCTCAATAGAAGAACCATTTCAAACAGCAGCAAAAGGGAAAAGCGAAACGCTAAGGCGACTGGCACACGATGCTCTGGGCACTGCAGCCCCACGCATGGGCAGCTCAGAAGGCTGGCTGGAGACAGAGATGGAGGAGTTGTGGTTTGGGGCTCTGGGCTAGGAGTTTCATTGTTTTTCATCAAAACTCTTACTGAGATCATTGTAGATTCCCACACAGTTGTGACATGTACCCTTGGCCCAGTCTCCCCCAAGGGGAACACAGCCAGGATGTCAACACTGACACAGTCCACTGGCCTCCTTACTTCCACTTGTATTCCTTTGTGTATTTTTTTTGTTCCATTTTGTCACATCTCTGTTCACAGACCTACCACCACAGCCAAGGTGAGAGACAGTTCCAGCTGCACAAGCCCTTCGTGTTGCCTTTATAATCTTGCCTCCAGCCTTGCACACTCCTACCTTAGTATCTGGAAAGCCCTGGTCTGGGATTTCTGCACAGTAGTGTCTTAGTGGGCAGAATGCTTGGTGAGCATCCTGGGGGAAGGTGGGAGATGCCCCGGTGGCTGCAGGGTGGAGCTGTCAAGGCGACAAGGCTTAGGAAAGAGCAGCACTCAGACCTCGGTGGGTGTGTGATCTGTGCCCAGATGGGAAACTGATAGCTTGGTGTGGCTGGGAGCCTGCCAGCCCCTTCCCCTCCTTCCAGTCAAGGCTGGGGCGGAAAGTAACCTATGTATCCCTCCTGCATGGTGTGCTGGGGTCACACACACATGTGTGTTCCAGACTGTCCAGAGAGCTTGCAGCATCTGTCTTATTGTGTGAGGTTCCGGCAAAATGTCTGTTCTGAGAGCAGGAGCTGGCAGCTGGGCTGGGAGGTCATTTGGATGTTGTGGCTGAGGACAGCATGTGCCCTTGGCAGCAGGCCAGATGCATGGGGAGCAGCACCCTCTGTTCTGCCCATGAAGAGGGTGCTTTCCGGAGCACCAGGCCCCGAGGAATTTCATGGTGGCCAGAGCGGGCCCTGTGATTGAGAGGGACTGCGGTGGGGGTGGCCCTCATAGGTTTCCCTAGAGCTGGGTCTGGAGGATGAGAGTGGGCAGGTGCATATGGTGAGGTGGTTTCAGGCAGACAGCTCCATGAGTGTGAAGGCCCTAGACAGGGTGCGCTGGAAGGCGGGATGGGAGGGGCAGGAGATGGGGCCAGCAGAAGGCCTTGGGGCTTCTTCCTAAGGGACATGGAAGCCGCTGGAGGGTTGGTGCAGGTGCTGATACGATTATGTCAGCATGAGGAGAGCAGCTGGTGGGATCAAAGGCTGATGCATGTGTCTTTGCAGTATCTGCTCCACTACCTGGTTTCCCTCAAGAACTGGCTGAACCGCCACAGCTGGCAGCGGACCCCTGTTGCCGTTACTGCCTGGGCCCTGCTGCGGGACAGCTACCACGGGGGGCTGTGCCTCCGCTTCCAGGCCCAGCACATCGCCGTGGCAGTGCTCTACCTGGCCCTGCAGGTCTACGGAGTTGAAGTGCCCGCCGAAGTTGAGGCTGAGAAGCCATGGTGGCAGGTGAGGTGGCCACTTGGCATACCGGACGTGCCCCCTTTCCCTCTGGAAGTCTGTATTGCAGTGCTCACCAAATTCTTTCTATTAATTATCCACGAAGAAAGATATGGGCTGCTGGGGAGCATGGAAGCTTCAGAGCGCCCTGCTGATGGCCTGGGCCAGGCTCTCCCTCAGCACAGTTGCCATTTAGGGATCCCGGATGTTGAACAAGAGTGCTAGCCTCCACCGAGATGTCGCCGGTGTCCCGGGAGGCGGGTTGCCCCAGCGGAGAACCACTTTTACTGAATTGAGTGGGAACTTGAGTGTGGTCACAGGTTACCAAACCTGGCTTCCCATCAGAAACATCTGGGGTGCTTTATGGAGAGGGCTGGGTGACTAGGTAGGTGACAGCTAGCTGGCTAGTTGGCAGACACCTAGGTGGATGGGTGAGAGAGCTGATGGGCTGGGTGGCGGGTGACTGATAGGTATTAGTAGGTAGATTCTGGAGGGATGGATGGTAGAACTCTATAGGCCTGCCCAGCGGACAGCTTTCCAGGTGGCCGCTGCTGTTCTGCATAGAGGCGCCCCTGCCTCTCTTTCCTGGCCCGTGTGCCTTGCGGATGACCACAGCACTTGCTGATTTTTGCATGTTTATTGTCTAATCCCGTGTCCCCAGTCAGCTGTGAGCGCCTGAGGCCAGGCAGCTCATCTGCCCCATGCCGCCACGTCTCCCGCGCCACCCTGGCACTATAGCAGGTGCCCATGTGTCTTTGAACCCATGCACCCATGTTCCTAGTCTCAGGCTGGAAGCACCCTGTCCCCGAGGCAGTGTGCAGGTGGTGCAGGGCCATCTGTGTGGACAGACAGTATTGCTCCATGCTCGGGCTGCCAGGGACTTTCAGATAGCATGGCTGCCTTGTGCTCAGGGTTGGACTCTGGTGAGGGCAGACACCTTCTGGGGACATCTGGTGGGTGTGGCCCTGGCCCTGGGCTGCCTGGCTATCCTGCATCTCTCTTCCTTTCTGCTCTGTCTTCTGCGCTTGCTCATAAACCTCACCTGGTGTGCTGGTACCACCTGCGTCCCATGCTTAACCCCTCCCAGAGGAGTGCGAGCCCAGGTGAGCCTGCACAGCCAGGAAGCAGCTCCACCAGCAAGTTGTTTGCTGGCGGCCCAGCTCACCCAGTTGTTGTTCAGACTGCGAAGAAGTTACCCTTTGTGGGGTGGCGAGCTTATGTTCACCCAGCTCTTCTTAAAGGTTGCTAAACTTGACCTGACCTTTGCTTCCCAGCTCGGGGCTGTGCACCAGAAGCTTCCGGAATCCAGGTGCATCCTATGGGCTGGTGGGGTGCAAGGGCCTGATCCCTCATGATGAGTGGGGCCCTGGGAGGCCTCACCCACCCAGGTGCTGCAGAGCTCACAGCCTAGCTTTTGAAACCCTTTCTTCCTTGTGTGCTCTCGGCCACACTTTTTTTTTTGGTTGAGTGGGTGTGCCTGCCGCCCAGGTTGGGCAGTTGCCGTGGCCGGATCTCAGGGCTCACTTGCAAGGGCTCGCCGGTCCTGGGTTCAACGCATTGCTCCGGCCTCGTCCTCCCGTGAGGGCTGGACTACAGGCGCCCGGGCCACCTCGCCCGGCTAGCGTTTTTTTGTTATTTTTAGTAGAAGATCTGGGCGTTTCACCGGTGTTAGCCAGCTTGGTCCCTCAGATCTCTCGTGACCTCGTGAATGCGCCCGTCTCGGCCTCCCAAAAGTGCTGGGGATTACAGGGCCTTGAGCCACCGGGGCCCGGCCTTTTTTTTTTTTCTTGAGACGGAGTCTCGCTTCTGTCGCCCAGGGCTGGGTGCAGTGGCCAATCTCGGCTCACTTGCAAGCTCGCTCCGACCTTCCGGGGTTCACGACCTCTCTCGCTGCCTCACTTCCCAAAAGTAGCCTGGGACACGAGGGCCACAACCACCACGGCCTGGCTAATTTTTTTGTAAATTGTAGTGAGAGGTGTTCACCCCATGTTACCCGGATGGGTTCTCGAACTTTCCTTGACCTCGCTGATCCCACCCGCCTCGGCCACCAAACAGTGCTGGGACTTACAGACGTTGGAGCCACCGCGCCCGGGCCTCGGCCCACCCACTTCTTTTAGGGAACGTCCTTGTTCACTTTCGTGCCATTGGGGCTCGGGCAATGGCAGCTGATGTGCTTTCCCTGAGAAGCCGTTGCGCTGCCACTTCTGTTGCAGATGAGCAGGGATGGTGGGCGGTGTCAGAAGAATGATGCAAAGGGTCTCACACAAATGCTTGCTGAAAACTTCCAGGTTCCAGAGGCCCACCACTTGAGGTGCCGCCTCCATTCCCCTCGTCTTAAGCAAGGAAGGGGAAACCTCTCGCTTTTCCAGCCACTGCTGCCTCTTGTGTTATAAAACAGATGGGACGCCCACAAAAAGGCAAAAGTCCCCAGAGGCTCAGCAGTGGCTCTCCGCTCCTAGGCACTTGCGCGTCTTGTGTCCTTTTCTGTGTCAGGTGCCCCCAGGGGTGTGTCACGCGTGTCTTGGAATGGTATTTTCAATGTGATGACATACGACTCACGCTAAATTCGTACCATGTTCACATTTTAAGTGTGCGGCCAGGCGGGCAGAAACAAGCGAGTTCAGGTGCTGTGCAGCATCCACCAACATCCAAGCCGCAGAAATCGTTCATTTCTCAAACTGAAGCTATGGGCCCGCTTCAACCAGAACTCCGCCACCCAGGCCCTGGCACCCCCCCTGTCATGTTCGCTGGGGTGTACAAGGGTTCGCGGCTCTCCTATTGAGGCCCCTCACAGGAGTTGGAAAGTCTATAGTGCGGGCGTTCTCTTGTGACTGGCCTCCTTCACTGAGGCACAATTGTTGGAGCCCTGCTCTCAGAATGGTCCGTTTCTTTGATGGTGTCTCAGTGTCATGCCTGCATGGAGTATGATGGTTAACGACTATCTGCATCCATGGAGGAGCCAGGGCTGGGTCCACGTTTATTGGCCCTGCCTTTTTTTTTTTTTTTTTTTTTTTTTTGAAGACGGAGTCTCGTTATCGCGCCCGGGCCTGGAGTCCCTGTGCGCCCGCCGCTGCGCTCCCACTACAAAGCTCACGCCTCCCGGGTTCACGCCATTTTTCCTGCCGCTCAGCCCTCCGAAGTAAAGCTGGGATTAACAAGGGCGTCCCGGCCCCAAACCTCGCCGGCTAGTTTTTGTATTTTAGTAGAACGCGCGGCTCGCTCTTTCACCGGTTAGCCAGGGGATGGGTCTCGATCTCCTGACAATTGATGATCACCCGTCTCGGCCTTCCAAAGTGCTGGGATTTACAGGCTTGAGGGCCACGGCCGCCGGCCTTTTTTTTTGTTTTTTTTTAAGTGGAAGAGTCTCACTCTTGTTGCCCAGGCTGCGAGTGCCATGGTAGATCCTCTCAGCAACCTCCGCTCATTTTCCAAGTATTCCCTGCCTCACTCTCCCAAGTAACTGGGATTACAAGTGCCTGCCACCACACCCGGCTAATTTTTGTATTTTTAGTAGAGACGGGGTTCAAGGAACTCCTGACCTCCAGTGATCCACCCGCCTCGGCCTCCCAAAGTGCTGGGATTATAAGCGTGAACCACCATGCCCAGCCCCTGCATGCTTTTTAATGATTGCTTCTGAGCTTGGGGTCTCCAGGAGCACACAGGTCACGGACCCCAGCAAACAAGGGTGCATTTCTGAAGTATTTGTTTTTCACCCAGAGCCCAGGGTAAGACAGCTATGCTTCCTGAGTCAGGACTTGGAGGGTGTCCAGGTTACCATCTCCTACCTCAGGTTGTAGGCCACAGAGGAACCTATGGTTCTTTGGGAGCATTCAGCAGGGGTGGACTTAGGTCCACTTCTTGCCTTGACTTGGCCCAAGGCCTTGATCTTATTGGTACATTGGTTCCCCAGGCAGCAAGCTTGGGCACAGGGTGGCTACAGACGCAGCATCTAACCAAGGTCTTGCTGCTTTGCTTACTATTTCCCTTATCAATGGGGATCCCAAAGAGCACCCCGGGGCTCAGTGCTGTGCTGGGAGGGCTCAGAACTCAAAAAAGCTGTCACACTCTGAGTTCCGGTTTATTACAAGGAAAGGACACAGGTCACGGTGAGCGAAGGCTCAGGGTGCACAGGACAGGCTCCAGGAGAGACCAGGCGTGAGCTTCAGTGGCTCCTCGCCCAGGGGAGTTGTGCCGACAGCACCTGTTTCTTTCAGCAACAGTGTGGGACAGCATGCACGGAGTCATAACTAGGGAAGCTCACCCCAGCCGTGGCAGCTAGGGTTTCCGCAGGGGGTGGATCGCATAGGCACGGAGCGCCTGCATGGCCAACCCTGGTTACTTGGGCTGGAGCCACCAGAGGTCTGGCTGGGACTCTGTGGCCCAAGGCCCTCACCGTAAATGATGTGGTTAACACAGACCGCCTGGCAGTCCAGTAAACCAAGACGCTCACACGGGGCGGGATTTTCTAGGGGCCTAGAGGTTATTTTCCAGGAGCTGGGCAGAGGCCAGACCTGCCTTTGGAAGGTACAGGGTGTAGACCCCACCCTGTGGCATGGCCCTGGGCTGCAACCCTCCTGCCATGGGCCCTGAGGATGTCCTTTGCCGTCTTGCGAGTGCTCCTGCATGTGGTGGTCCGGGCTGTGGAGTGGGTCCACATGCTCCCCAGGGGCTGGGTTATGGTGGGCATGGGGTCCGGGTACTTAGTCTGCCTGTGGCTGCACAGGGACTGCCACCCTGTCCTCTTGCCGGTGTCCCCAGAGACCCTAGACCTGAGGGAGTCCCAGGCAGGAGGCAGGAGCCTGTGCTCTGGACCCAGCTGTGTTACCAATTCGCTGCATGACCTCAGACAGGTCCCCTCCTGTCTGGGTCAGAGGATCACCAAGGCCTGTTCCATCTGGAATGTCCTCGGCTTTGTGAAGTGTTTCATTGGCCTCAACAGGCTGGAACTGAACTGGCTTTGCAGAAGAGCTACCATCTTCTTGGATAGCCAAGTCCCTGTGCCCCTCCCCTGCCCATGAAATGTGATTCTGTGCTTAGTGACAGGTGCCTTATTTAACACAGAGGGAGTCTAACTGGAACCTGTTTTCCTTCTTCTTTCTAGGTGTTCAGTGACGACCTTACCAAGCCAGTCATTGATAATATTGTGTCTGATCTCATTCAGATTTATACCATGGACACAGAGATCCCCTAAGGCCCTGGCCCAGGCCTGCCCAAAGAGAAGCCCAGGATGGTTGGCTGCCTGGGGACATTGCCACCACGTCGCCATGACGGCTGGTCCCCAGAGGACCGGCTGGGAGGACTGGTTTGCTGCTGGAGAAGGACTGGAGAAGGCGATGGCATGCTGCTGCTTTGACAGTCCCTAGCAGTTGCGGTCCAGACGATGATGGGAGCCGCACCTCCGGTGGGCAGGCCGGGAGTGCACTGTGTGAGCTGACCCAAGGCAGCCACATCTGCTTTTGTCCTTTGAGAGGACTCTGACTACAACAGAGGCATGACATCAATGAAAGGAAAACCATGAAATCGATGAGACTGAATCCCTAGGGATTTTGTAAAGCCAGATTCATGGCGAGAATGAATGTGCAACGTGGCTGAAATCTATTTTGTGTAATAAAAGGTGATGCAAGTCAATAGGGACCCTTGGCTTTGCTCTGCAGCGCATGCTGCACATGGGGGTGTGCGGGGCCGCCAGAGACTGCTTCCCTCGGAGTGCCCTCAGGTAGAGTGTCCCACACAGCCACCAGGCGGCAGGCCTGGGGTTAGGGAGGATCACTTGCATTCAGAAAAGTGAGACCTGATCAAAAGTAACTAAAAGTAATGCGTTTTTCAGTGACTCCCTGCTCAAAAGCCAGTGGGTAAGAAGGAGTCCAGGAGATGCTCTCTGGGTCCCCTTACAGGCTAGACATACGTTCAGCACGTGGCATGGGGCTGGGGGACTGGTAGGTTTACACAGGAGGGTGGGCTCCGGCTCCTGCAGGTGTGGGGCAGGGGTGATGCAGGTCAGGGCAGAGTCTTGCTTGACTTTACAGAGCGACTATGTTCAGTGTCCTCAGGGTGAAGTATCTGAGCAGATGTCACAGGCCTCCCTGGTGGGCAGGCTTGCCCCGGCTGACCTGCCCTTCATTTTGTAGAACTCCCCTGTGGGTTTTGATGATTAACTTCTCCTAAATGTGGGCTCCTGCTTTACCTGGTGTAAGCTTTTTAAGACTAATCAGTCAAAGAACCACATTTTTTAAGCAGCTACTGTGTGCCCAGTCCTTGACTACGCTCTGGCAACCTGGTGAAACTCCTTGCTTATGTGGAGGGAGAGATGGGAAACAGAATGAGAATGTGTAGCATGGTAGTGAAAAGTGCTCAGGGGAAGAGAAGGTGGCCAGGGCTCAGAAGAATTATGGTAAAAA